GGACTTTGGTGTCAGACAGTGTCACATTTGAGTACTCGAACGACGTGTAGCTCAGGCCAGCCCCAAATGTCCACTCCATGGCGCAGTCTTGGAACCCCTCGCGGCATTCCGAGTTGACGCGATGGAAGTACGGGAGGTGGATGTTGCCGCTGGCCTGGGGGTACGTCAATGGGAGCTTGGCGGACGGATTCACGCGACCAGAGATGACGTCCGCGATCGCTTGGCCGCCTTGTTCACAGGGCAAAAAGCTACAGTGTAACCTGTTAGTTGTATCACCCCACATATATACGCATATACTAACTAGTACTACTGGATTGTATGCAGAGGGCTTGTTTATCCCCACTTCAAAGTGTATACAAGGTATTATTGTGTGCTTGGGAGGTATTATTGTGATTATTTTCACTGTAATGTTTTGCCAGATTGTTGAAATCGCGGAAGAAATCGAAAAAAAGTAGTATGATTGGCTAAAAATAATGAAGGTTGCCGCCTTATGATTGGCTAAAGACTATGATTGTTGTAATGCATTGAACAACCAACAATTCTGGATTTCAAAAAATAATCCATGCTTTAGCTCAATACCACAATGCGATACAGTTGGACAGAATGTATGTAGAAGTAGCATTCCAATATATTGTCAAGTCGATTCGAAATTGGTTCGAAATTGGAGTGGGTACCAAATCGACAGACAATCGATCGACCAATCAAAACCCAGATCAAGAATCAAGTAGCCAATCAAATCAACTCTTCGACCAATTCAACATCGAATTAGTGTGTTACTAGTACGAGTATGACACTGGACCATTTTGACATACAAAATTTCAGTACAAAGAATCGATCGAGCGATATATTTGGCGAATCACCACAAAATTCCAAATTTGGGGTAAATCGACAACATCATGCTGCCTTGTTTACATACCTGACAAGCACCGCGGCGGCTTTTTTGTGGGCGCCCCCGAGCAGCCGCGGCCGTCCTGCCACCACAACCACAATCACATTGGTCGAAGGAATGGCTGTGAGTTGCTTGATGTACTTGCGCTGGCCCAATGGCAAGTGCAGATCTGGAATGTCTCCGTTCTTTTCCGTGTACGATGCCTCGCCCACGACCACAATCGTGTAGGCGCTGGAGGCAGCCAACGCCAAATCGGCCGTTCGATTGCCGATGACGTGGCCGGTCGTGTCGACACCTTCGGCGTACCGGACGTTTGCAAACGTG